TGTGTGTGTGTGTGTGTGTGTGTGTGTGTGTGTGTGTGTGTGTGTGTGTGTGTGTGTGTGTGTATGTTGTTTAACAGAGGAGTAAAATTGTAAAATAAGATAAAAAAATCATACAAATAATTCTTTTTGGTGATTCATTTATTTTATAATAATAGTGAGTACCGAAAAAATTCTAAATTTATATTACAGAAGACTTTCTTTTCTAATAATGAATATTATTTAGAAAATTAGGAGCAATCTTAATGTTTTATTATTTATTTATATACATCAAATAATATATATATCTTAACAATACTAATGAAACTTAATAAATTAACAATAAATAATAAATTTATATTTATTTTTAAATGATAATATTTTTTTCTTATTAGATCTAGTTAAGTAGTCTCAGCTGCTATTCACAACAGTAATAGAATGATGACAATTACGTACCTAAGATCTAGAATCATACTTTTAATTCATCCTAAAATCTTTGAGCAATTTTGAAAAAATCTTTTTTTATAAAAATATTTAGTATCAAGTTATTAATTTTTTTATATTAAATATTGTGTGACTCAATTATATACCGAAAAAAACTATTTTGCATTTATGTTAAAACGATTCCTTGTTAAAATTTTTGTGTTAATTTTTTAACATATCGAGTTTTTAATTTAACATTTCTCAATGTTAAAATAACACAATTTATAGGTAATTAAACATATAACATAAAAATATTGTAGTTTTAAAACATAAATTTTAAAAATAAATGGAAGAAGAGTATGTTGATTTAATGTATTATAAATATTAATTTTACTGAAGAAATATGTTTTATACAACTAGTTACATATTTTATATGTAAAAAGGTAGATATTTTGTGTTATTTTTTCTTTGTAACAATAAATATCTGTTAAATATCTATATATTGCATATGTTAAATTATTAAATATCATAAAAGCATCGCCTAAATTAAAAATAGCAACTAATTTCAATTAACATTATAAATATGTCAATTCAACATAAAATTTGTTTTTAAATTGTGATAAAGTATTACGCTTTTTTAATTTTTTTGTTAATTTTGTACATAATATTTGTGTTACTTTTTAATATATTCATCTTATGTTAAATTAACACAAAAATTTGGATAGATCGTTTGGAATATGTGAAATGTGTTAATTTAACATAAATTTTTTACTGTATCTTTATGTATTTTTTAGAGCTATTGTTTTTAATCAATTAAAAAATTATTGTTTTGTCGATGTTTTTATTGATGAGCAAAAATTGATCCTTAAAAAATTCTTAAATAAAAAGTAATTCAATTCTTTGAGATCTAATATATTTGTATGTAATATCAACTCTATTTGTTATCACTAAAAAAATTTAACAGAAAATTACATTAGTGTCAATTCAGTTGTTTCTATTGGAGGATTTTCGATATCGTCCAATATATCAGGATCAAGTTCTGTCAAAACCTCGTTCTTGTTTTTTACATTATTCTGTTTGGTGATAACAGGATTATTGTATTCCTCTACATTGAAAATATTTTTAGGAAATATAAGATCTTTGATACGCATTATATTGTCTTCAACAGCTTCATTTTCGAAGAACTTGTGATTCATTTCTTTTACAGGATTTGCATGTATATTACTTTTTGCTTCTGACAATTCCTGCGTTTCTGATTTGGTAGGATACTTTTTATCATTTACAATATTTAAATAGCGAGGAAGTATATAAGCATTATAGGCATTAATCACAGGTGTACGGGCAGTACTGGTTTCAGTACTGGTGTATGCTTTGTCTCGAAAGATTAGATCCTCGTTTTGCTTATCCTGGAAGTATTTATTATTTTTTTCAGAATATAATCCCAATTGTCCCATCTCTTGCGAGTTTTCACGTATAAAATTTAAATCGTCGAATTCTTCATTTAATATTCCTTTCCAAATATTCTGAGGAAATATATGAGGATTAATATTATTTTGTCCAGTTTTTATAGTATTATGTTCAGTTTCATCTTCAAAATAATCTTTCATATCTTTGTCCTCCATGAAGTATTCAGTCTCGTCTTCAAAATATTCTTTATCATCTTCCTCATTTTCGAAAGATTTAGTATTTGCTTTCATCAAAGAATCGAACAATGTTTCATCCTTTCCTGATTTCCATGTATTTATATCCTGAGGAAACTTAGAATTATGAGAATTAGAATTGATTTCTTCATTATCATCTTTAACTATAATTTCTTGCTTTCTTGCAGGATATAATTCTAAGAAATTATTCCTAAACTGTCCTACATTCGAGGATCGTGAATTCTTAGTGTCCCAATTTTCAAAGAATTTTTTAGTTGATTTTAAGATATCCGAATCCTCAACATAAGGATCATGCTTAACTTCTGATGGACTAAATTCTACGAGACTATATCTTTCTGGAGAATACCTAAGCTGGCTGGCAGAATTTGAAGATTCCTTGATTGTATCTTTTTGCTCGTCTTCCCGGCGAAGTCGGTAGATATTTTCAACTTCAGAGAAAGATTTCTCTGACTGCATGACGTTTGAAGAAATGTCCCCTGGATACTTCCCTGATGATTTTGTATCTCTATCGGCGTGATGCACTTTCCTCATAAGATCTTCTTCGTCCCTTTTATAATCTTCCATCCTTCTATAGTCTTCTAACAAGGATTCTGAATATTTATTGTGAGGATTTCTAAAAAACCAATTTTCTTCAAAAATTTGTCTCGATGGAACAACACGAGGATAATCTTTTATAGGTATATCTTGAGAAAATATTTCTTGTCTGTCTGAGGATTGCGGAGAACTATTAAGATAATTCTTGACAAATGAATTTTGGTTAACAGGTTCTTGTTGATGAAATCCTCTGTAGTTTCCGAAAGACATCAAATTTTTTGTTTTATATAATGAAACATTATCATCGCGTGCTATATTCTGGGAGATTTCTCCTTGTAACAAGTGAGAATATGGAGAATTTTGAAGCAAATTTGTAGAGAAATCTTGTAAATTTGATTCTTGATGAGTATTCCTGAAACATGTCGCAAATTTTTTCGTTCATTAGATTTATAATAATATTCCTCAAATTTTAAATATATAGTTATAACTTCAGAATTGGCAATGTTACCTCATAAAAATAACTGTTTTTTTTTCCTAAAAAATAACTCGTTATCATTACTCGTTATTGATTTGCAAAAGTAATTCGTTACCGTTACAGTTACTCAAAATGTAACAAGTCGTTACTTTTTCATTACTTTTTTTCTTAATACTAATAGAATATTATATAGCGTTTTTCATTGATAGAATTTGTGCGCACTCAATGTACATTAAAGCCGCTGTATACAATTTTAATCTAAATGTAAAAATGAGATATCTGAGAGGATAAAAATGCCTAAAATATATTTTTTCAAGTATATTTTATAACATAATAAAATGTATTGAGGATTCTGCAGTTTAACTCGTCTCTATATTTTTATTAACCATACATTTTTACGTCGATTATACAGCGGCTTTAAAGTGCACTGAATGCATATTAATTCTGCTAATGAAAAACGCTATTATATGCAGATTCTTGTAGATCTAACTATAAAAAAGATGGAAGAATTCTGTTTTTTTAGTAGAGGAAAAA